TTAATTATTTACTTGTTTATTTTTGCTCCTCTCTTTTATAATAGGAATGTAATGTTAACTACTGAATCAAATTTATCCGACCTAATTAGCAACTCAACTAGAATCTTTAGACTAAATTTAACTTGATAATAGATTTACTACATTAAAAATAGTTTGTTCATTTTATATGTTCGCTTCATTTGCCCCCTCCCCTTTCGAGAGTTCTGGAAAGTGATGCTAACCGAAAAATTAACTTCGAACGGCCTAAATCACATCTTCCTATAATTTTACTAAATCTCGTCCAAGACAAATTTGAGCAATTTATCGAAAACCTTTTGAAGATGCTTCTTGAAGAAGGCAAATTACATTTAATCGAATGGCTTCAATAAGTATAGTTATGTTCAATAATATTGCCATATAAAATAAATATAATAAATTAAATTATTGCTCTAGGTTTTGCGCAAATTTGCTAAAGAGAATCAAGCTATTGAAAATGGAGAAGAGAATGCTACAACAAACCATATGATGGTTCCAAAAATCATGGTATATATTCATATTTTACTGTAATTTTTATAGTTTAATTTTTGAGCAATTATTAGCATATATTAATATTTTATTTAATTATGTAGTTATTATAGCTAATAATGCGGAGCAATGGGGCGCGTTGACCCATGAACACTTCACAGCGTTTCTTAATGTACTCGAGTTTAGAAAAATTGTTGATTTGTGTTTTCATCTTGATTTGAAACGTTATAAATATTATTTTATACATCACAATAAGTGAAAGAAATAATTATTAATATGAAACTTTTTACATCCAAAATAAGAATCCCGAATCAGTTATATGGTTCTCCACCTTCCAGCCTGTAATTGTTAATTGACAAATGGATTATTCGTTACATAGCCAGAATCATATTCCAATTTTTACTTTCAAACCACGATCAGATAGTAACTGAAAAGAGTACTATAGAATTCTTAACAGAAACTTGTAAAGGCTAATTATTTGAAACAAACATATAAAATTAGACTAGTTATTTTATTTACAACATTATAAGGCTTATGTAAGCAATAATAACCTTATCAAATTGGGTCGTGCTTTTGAACTTTCATAATTCCTGGGAAAATTGAAATTTTCCGATGACCGAATCGATAACAGAAACTTATCGATTTATGGCTCAATTGCATAAACCGGTTTTTTATATAGGGCGTAACTAAGTGATGTCATAAGTCTCGTATCTGTGCAATATCGGGTGTAACCTGAATTTTAGGATTTTCTGTAATCAAGTAAATAAAATACGATAAGCATTACATGACGTTTTACAACGAGTTGCATTGGCAATCTATACAGCCGCAACGTCAGTACGTAACAAAAGTTATAAAGCTTAAATCTGGTTATTTTTGCTTTATTGATTGCACCATCTAGCCACCGTGCGTGCCACAAATCTCTGCTAATACGTACGTAAATAGGTCACCATTTATTACTTTACCGATATAGTATCAAAATTTTGCCGATTATACAGTTTAAATAAACTTGAGAATTAAAATTTAATTATATAATGTATAAATATAGAACATATAACTAAATACTTTTTTTGTATATTTATTTATTTTTCTTTTAATAGTAAATGTAGGTCGTATAACAGGTGTTATACGCCAAATAGACTCAATTAAGCTCATGAGATAAAAGAAAAGAAAAATAAATCCGTTATTGGATGCACCGCATCCCAATAACAGCGTATCTGGCTTTGAATTTAATGTGCTTGACAACCTGAGCCCCTTCGGGGCCCAGGTTAGCACATTAAATTCAAAGCCAGATACTTCTTTTATTTGTCATCCGAAATGATCATCCCGTGATACGAAGGATCACGGTATTCTCATTTCTTCTGCCAAATAAAACTGTTATTGGATGCTACACATCCAATAACTATTTAATATATGAACGAAATTCAAGTAGGCTTGGAATTTAAGAATTGAGCGTAGGTTGGCATAGAGCTATTTTAAGGTTAATACTCATAAAACCTCGCAAATTAATAAAATCATGAATGATTCTTCCTAAAAAAACACTAGTGACATATGATTTACTATATCCCATAACGTGATTTTCAAGGCAAAGACCCATATAATTCTATATACAGTATATAGCTATATATATACTAGGTAAATGGAAACCATTTAAAAATCAACACCGACAAAATGGAGCATAATGACTGTTTTTATCGTATTAACCAATCAAAATCCATATTGTCTGTAATTATCTCTAACATTTAATTAATTTAATTAAAAATCAATAGTACAAATATAGCAGTGATATTATTGAGATTAGCTCAAGAATTATATAATTTGCTGTTAAATAAAGTTAATCAATACTTGAGCAGCTTTTATCAATTATATGTGGTTTATTAAATATTATGTATCAAAACTTTTGCCAACTCAAAAAGAGATCTCTAAAGAAACATTAACTTAGCTACCTCTAGAAGTTATAAAATTTTGCCTATCTATCATAGAACAAAAAAATTTTTTTTTTGAGATTAATCAGAATACAGTATTAAACTTATTAACCAATTTTTACTAATTAAATTTTTTACTATAACTTAAATTAGCCAATTGTACAAAGGTTTATAATATTAAAAGTTATAATTCAAATAATCCTTATAAATATACAGTATATAAAAAATAAAAAAATAAAAGCATTATACAATACGTACAAATAATTTTGTAGTTAACAAAAATCAAGCAAATTTTTATATATAATAAAATTTTTATAATTTTAAATAACAATAACTTAACAAAAACTTAACCGAATTTAATAAATAAATATTACAAACTCTCAGATTAAATTTGGTTATTTTTCTTTTAATTTATATAAATTACAGAACTAGGTTAATGTGTAACATTATGTGTTCAGATATATATCGCACAAATATGTTAAATGACCGACAAAAAATTTTCAATTATGTTTCTTTATGCAGATGCGTCAAAAAAAAACGCCATTTTTGTATCATTTTACGTAAATATTAAGTTACCGAAAATTACGTATCAGTTATCGTTATCGCTTTACGTAATCCACTGTAAAAAACTGCCAGTTGCTTTTTATTAAGTAATTAAATTATGATCTAATTACATTAGGAAAGAGATGCAATACATCAAGAAATTAATTTCTTTAGAACTGATTCTGATAATATTCGTAATACTGTAATACCTCTTAATCAAAAATACCTGATCCGTATGTGTTCAAGCGGAAACTTCTGGATATTTTTTATTGTTTACTAACGTCAAAGGGTAAGTAACGCGCTTTTTACCTTTATTTGATTTGTCAACGACTCAAATGAAATTCCCTAAATGTCCTAACGCTAGTATAATCATTAAAATTAAAATTAGCGTTAGAGTGCCAAATAGTGCCGGCAAAGTTCATTTTGAAAAATGACATTATATGTCATATTAGTCTATTGTGATATATTGTAATTTATACAGTATATAGATAGCTTTTCACATAGTATCGCATCATAATGTGTCTTTCAAACTCATCCTTATTTAAGAACGAGATTATACAAAATAAATAAAAATTTTGATAAATTCCTTTGACAAATTGGCCAGGAGGTACTGTAGGATTCCTTTATATAACAAATTTAAGTTCAATCACAAACTGCTGCACCTAGGCGAACACAACGTCTGTGGAATGTTTTTGGCCAACTCCATGTGAATACAAAATTCTGGGATTCACAAGAAGAAGGACGAATAAACATTCTCCTTTTCGGATTAAAAAAATTAGTAAAAGTAAAAATCATCAAAAAGCGAAGTTAAAAGGATATCAAAGTGTCTTTAAAATTACATCCTGATAGTCAACAAGTTCACAACGTAAATCCATGGTGTCACAGAATTCCGAAGACGTTCAACCATTAATCGACCAATCTAGTTCGCAATATAATCACGATATTTCTGTAAGGGAGCTTACTCCTCAGCACGGTAAAATTCCAACACCAACTGGTCCAACTGAATTCAACATGGCTTTCGTTTCTTTTTTGTTCGCAGGTTCTGGTGCTTTACTTTTCGCTGGTACTGTCTGGTATATAACTTCTAATGTACCTTATGAATTCTTCATTTGGCACCCAACTTTAATGGCTTTAACCCTTTTAACGACAACTTTCGGTATCAAATAATCATTTAATTATTTCATTTGGTTTTTAAAAAATATATTTAAATCGATTTTAGCCATTTCATCTTTTTGTGATTTTCCAAATTTTAGGAATCCTTATTCTTCAAACCACTGGAAAGCCAGAAGAAAGAGCCGTTGGGCTCAATTGGCATAAATTGTTTCAATCAATTGCTTTTTTGGCTGTCATTGCTGGATTTACAATTATTAGTATACATAAAAATAATAATAAATATGATCATTGTGCGTATTATTTTCGTTTATTTTCATATTTATATGTATTAATTCATTCCTTTTTTTACTTTATTACAGACACTTCCGCTCATGGGAAAGCTGGATTATTTACGTTTTCATATATTATGTGCCAAACTATTTTTGGATCAATCTTGGTTAATTTTCCTGGTGTTGTTGGTGGTCAAGCAAAGGCCGTGAGAATGTATAAATATCATAGATTTTCGGGCTACTTTTTACTGGCTTTAATTTATCTTACCGCTCTTGGAGGTACTCAAGCTGGTTGGACCAGAGGTAAATTTAATCATATCTGGGTTTGGTTATTAGCTACTGTTTTAGTTATAGTCGGAGTTGCCGGTAGAACAAAGAGTAGTAAATTGAAAATTTGGTGATTTAATCTCCTATCACAATTACTTTAATTTTGATATTAATAAATCAAGTAAATAAATTTTATTCGATTTTATTATAAATCCTAATATATATTAATTAAAACCATTAAAAAAAAGTAATAAATTTTATAGTATTTTATTTACTTCTTTAACTGTATTTAAACAAATATATAAAATATATATTTTTAATATTAGATATATAAAGTGCCAAACAAATTATTTGCACACCAAACATGTTAGTTTTTTTTTTTTTTAGAAAAATCTTGCCAATACTTTATTAGGTAAAAATATTTAACTTACAGATAAAATATAATTTTGACTAAAGTTGGCTAAAGTTTATTTAAGTTACAAGTATTAGCTAACCTAGCTCTTTGTGACACTGAAATGTCCAAATAACTCATGTTTGATCTGCTATAGAAAGTTTATCTCCATATCAAAAACCTTGCAAATAGATACTTCAATATATTATTAAATGGTATTTACAGCCTATCAAGATCACTTTCTTTTCTAATCTTCTTCTTCTAACCTCCCAAGCAGAAGGATTTATAGTCTCTAACTAACTTATGAAAAAAATACTAATACTAAAAAGATAAAAAAAATAAAATAAAGAAGAAAAGAAAAAATTGTCTAAGCCACAAGAAAATAAATAATAAAAACAGATAAAAGAAGAAAAAGTCAGAAAAAAAAACAATTTATGAAAATACTATACTAGACAGTTGTAAAAATTATATATTAAGTTTAAAAATCTTATATATCTCTGTTGTAAAACTAAGCCTTATTCTTAAATTTTTTTCTGACTATACTGTCTGGTCTAGATCAGTTTGTTAACCAAAGCACTAATTAGTTAATCACATAGTATAGAAGCATAGCAAAAGTTCGGTTTGATTGATTGTTAAAATACCCCTGGAAAAAATGTCGATCATATCCTAAATCAAAAATTTTATAATTCGCAAACTTTTAAAAAATTAGTCAATTCACTTTAAAGATATTATAAATTTACAATATACTAATTCAGTTTTATATTAGGGGCATGCCATTTATCACATGATTTTTATCATGAATATATGGGTCAGGGAAGTGATTACATCTATATATATAATATATATGGGCTAGGTACTGAGAAAAGAAACCAAATTGACAAAACAAAAGATCTTCGGAAAATTAATTTTTTTTTTTGGTGTTAAGGTGACCTTCTTTGGCCTGGTGACTTTTTATTAAAGTATAACCAGAGTTTTATAATGTAATTACAACGATGGTACATCAAGCCACATATGCATCTTTTGAGTGCCTAATTTAAGTAGTCTGTCCGAAGGTTCTATACTATCTGCCGTACCTGCACCCCAACTAAGGGGTACCCATTTAAACCATCTGGTTCTAACTACCTCCAGCAGCCCTTTAACCCTGGGTGTACCTTACTATACATATGTGGATTTCAGATATTACTTATTGTGGATTTCACACTCTACCTTAGAACTTACTAACCACACGGATTTTGTCAATCCCTATCATTAAGACTTACTAACTATATATGGCTAATCTATCCTCGAAGGTAAACCTAACAGAGCGGTACATGTTTCACACATATATTCACCTGCATGTTCCTATAACTTCTTCCTAATTAGTACATATTGATCTGCCGTTCTGTATACATATCTCACGCCACCTTTTGGGGTGCTGCCATTCTACGGATGTTTCTCAAGCACCAACCTTTCTAACTAGGTACCCATTATGTACTCTTTGCCCTTATTCGGTTCACAACAACCCCAGTACCTACATTTGAACTGTCTTCTTACCCGAATTCTTTATTGGTCTCTCCCTTACTTTCAGCTAGCAACTCGAACAGGTTGGTCTGCTCAGGCTTTAGGTGCCTGAAGGACGCCCTCCCCTTGGTCCATACTTTCGGAGCGTATAACCTTTTTCTCCGGTACGTCAGCCTGGCGGTTCAGCTGGTGTGTCCCTCACTTAAGGACCTGATTACTCGGTTCTCCAATTTCAGGCCCCGATTTAAATTTAGCTCTCCTGTAGCACTGTCAAAGATCACTGCTACTTCCAAATTCGGGACTTGCCAAATGGGTTTTTGGTTATGCCGATTCCTTGGATTTATTGCGCCAAAGCTCCCATTACTAGATAGTGTGACCAAGATTACAGATTTCTAGATCCAACCGATAATCACAACCGTAAACCGAAACACAGGCTATTTTTCAAAATTCGTCGACCATGGGATTTGAACTCTAGACCTGCCACTTGGAGAGGGTGACGACTAGACCACTACACATCTCAGAAAATTAATTTTTATGTTGTAGATCTTATAATAAATCATAATAAAATGCAAACTTTAAAGAGCAATATAGCAAAATTTTATTAATACAATCTTATTTTAAATCAATTTATGTAAAAAAATAATGTTTGAAAAAATTGTCAATTTGGTTCCTTTTTCCAGCACCTAGCCTATATATATATCAAATATATATAGTATATATGGGCTGTGTTCTGTAAAAAGGAAGAAAATCAACATTTCAAAAATTTTGAAAAAATCACGTTTTTGTAGATCAAAACAATACCTGTGACAAATAATGTAAATCTATTTTTTAGAATATTATTTAAATGTGACATGTAACGTAAACAATTATATAATACATGTGATTTTTAATTTTTCACTATGTAAAAATTGTGTCACACCAGGTACTGTATACAGTACTAGATAGTAAAGGCCATATGTAAAACTTAAAAGAATATTAAACTAGCATAATATAACTTTTGATTAGAATAATATAACTAGTTATGCTTCATTTAATAAGCTAATAAAAAATTTTTAGCCAAAATGTCAATTTTCCCCTTTTTACTGAATAGCACCTATATATATAGGGTGCTAGTAAAAACCAAGCAAATTGTTTTGACTACACCAGGGCATAAGATCAATTTTACTATTACATAATAGTCAGAAAACAAATATGCCAAATCCAAAAAAACTTTGTTTATATCTAGATTAGAGTATAAGTGGATTAAAAAAAGTAGTTATATAGTAAAGAATAAATATATACGTTACACTCTGCGATGTCACTAATTATTGCCCCTATTAATAATTATACTTCCCTATGATGCACTATGCTTTGTCTTTAACTATACACGATCACGTGATTATATAATCACGAAATATGGATAAGTGACTTTGTTAATACAATGCGAATAAAGCTACTCTCAAATACAATAGCATTTTCTTGGTAATAATTATGTAATCGCTGCTGATAAATTGATAGATTAACGATAAAAATTACACCATCATGTGATGAAATATTAGATCGCATGCCTAAAAGTTTACATAATGTGATACACATTTTTCATCACATATCAAACACTCGCAGATCATATTTAGTACTGATTTTTTTCATCACTCTTACTTTACTGAATTTGAGCCCCATATGTTTGATTTTTTTTGCTTTCACCTCACCAAGTTTAGAGCCTCATAAATTCGATTTTTTTATCATTCTCAATCAACCAAATTTAGGGCCTCATTAAGTCTTGATTTTTTTATTGCTTTCACCTTACCAAATTTAGAGCTTATAAGTTCAATTTTCATTGCTATCACCTTACCAAATCTAGACCTCATAAGTTTAGTTTTTTCTTATTGTTTTCACCTTACCAAACTTAGAGCCGTATAAGTTTGATTTTTTTATTGCTTTACCTTACCAGATTTTTTTTATCGTTTTCTCCTCACTGCTTTATAAATCTACTTCTTTTTATCACTTCTACCTCAATAATAAATATGGAATCTTATGAGACCATTGGAACAAGCTTTTCAAACTATAATCCTGAAGAGATAATGGAAATGGAAAGATATGTTTTCTTTGATAATATTGCTGAAGGTTCTATACAAGCATTGCCTAATGATACCAAGAAGAAAACTAATAATGAGGCATTGATTTACCAAGATTCGGAAAACCCTAATGATAATACGCCGGTTAATACAAACAATAAAGTGATAGTAATTTCAGAAGATATACCTGCAAGTACTGCATTCAATTCTTGAACAGAAGTTGAGACTTTTATTAAAGACTATGGGAAGCGAAATGGATTTACATTAATTAAATATTGAGTGGAGAAAAATAAAGCTGGACAAATTTATAAATGAACTTTTATTTGTGAATTTGGTGGAAAGTACAAGTCTAATAAGAATTAAAATGACATGCAAAGAAACACAAAAACAAAAAAAGTCGACTGTCCATAGCACATAAACCTTTCTTACAGAGAAACTGGAACTCAAATCTCTATTACTATACTTGTGAATGAATACAATCATAAGATCAACTTGAATACTTAAGAATTTGAACTTAAATACCGTTTCCTTGATGAAGATGCTTTAAGAGAAGTGGAGATAATGACTAAATATGAAAACTTGTCGATTACAGCACAGCAAAGTATACTACAAGAGTGTTTTTCTAATTTGTATTTCCAGGATAGTGATCTTAATAATACTATTTAACAATTTAAAAGAAAAGAAAACATATATAGAACAAACGATATATCTGACCTGCTTAATTACTTGTTAGCAAATAAAATAGATGATCCTAGATGGTCTGTAAAATTTGAATTAGATGAGGATAATCAACTTATATGGTTATTTTGAATATCACCTGAGCAGATCGACCTGTGGTTAAAATATTGTGATGTGGTTATCAACGATAATATGGTTAAAACTAATATATATCAAATGCCTTTAGGTTATTTGTAATCGTTGATAACAATGAAAGAACACGACTTGTCTGTCAGGTTTTAGTAAGCAATAAAACAATTGATATCCATAATTGAATTTTAACTTGTATAAAAAATACAACACAAACAGAGCCTTCAGTCATGTTTACTAATGCAGACCCAGCACTAGACACTGCTATACGAATTACTTTTCCCAAGACATATGCTGCATACTGTATCTTTCATATTGGGCTGAATTTACCCAAAAATCTCAAATCTAAGATTGGTGATAAATAAGAAGATTTTATGAAAACGTTTTATCAATGCCATAATAGTCTTTGTGAGCCTCTTTTTCAAAAATGCTGGAATGATATGCTTAATAAATATCCAATAGCAAAAGATTATTTGTTGCATATCTTGTATTCAAGTAGTTGGTCTTGGGCTCATGCATACCTTTCAAGAATATTTACAGCTAGTATTGAAAGTATGTCTCGAGTTGAATCTTATAATTGTGTTATAAAAAAAGAAATCAAATCCAATTGTACATTGTGTGAACTTGCAAATCGTCTTGATCAATGTCTAAAAACAGAGACACAATGGAATAGATTCCATCAGTATAAAGATTCAACAACATTCGCTACCATGCCTACTACTGGACATGACCTTTTCCCAATGGTAACTAAAAACATTGATAAATATCTCACAGATGCTATTGGTAGTATAATTAAAGATAAAATAACACAGTGTTTGTTTCTTATGGCTGATATAATTGAACCATAACCTGATGACCTTAACTCTGAAGAAATTGATGAAGAAATATCATGTGGGTTTCTTGAAGATAATTACGATGCACGCAAAATTACTCTTCAAGACATTATAGATGAAGTTGGAAGCGAAAATATAAAAAAAGTATGGAGAATATCTGATATTCGCAGAGAAAAAAATTAATTTATATATTTTGTAGTTATCTTAAACTCAATATCTTTTTTATGCTCATACCTTATAATCACTTCAAGAGGACTTATTTGCTAGCACTATTTTCGCATAATGATGCATTCTAAACTTGCGGCTTTTCACATATCAATGATTCCTTCACGATGGTACAAGCACCCCTATCAAGAAAATCAAATATACAAAGATGAGAATATTATATTTAATCATGAAAAGGGTAATATTGGAGTAAGTCAAAATGAAGAGATTCTCCCGATTCAAAGGCTATCTACAGTCTCAGTTATAGCTCCAATTGCAAGAAAAGCTTTGCAGAAAAGAAATCAATATGGCAAAATTTGAGGATTAGCCCGTGAGGTGACATTGTTGGCAGTAGATAGTGATGATAATGGGATTGTATATTCTTTAAGGTTATATAACAAAAAAAAAAATTAAAAGAGATAAACATAACAATAAAACGCAAGGCAAAAGAAAGGGAAAAAGACCGATTAATACACAGGCTGTTTTCACTTTATAGGAATCTTCTGAATTTGCCGATGATAATGCTTTAGATAAAAATCAAATCATATCAGAAAAAGAAAATGAAGACAATAATAATGAAGTACTAGACGATGATGAAACAGCCAGTATTCAAGCTCTACAAGGTGTTCAAAATCCACCTCATATTATTAGAAGAGGAAGACCATCCAAGTGTCATTTTATGAGTAATATAGAAAAGGAGCAAAATCGGGGAGGAACTTCTTCAAGAGATTCATATAAATATCGGCAATGTGGAGAAGTAGGTCATAATGCAGCTTATCATAAGCGAAAGAAAAAAAAAAAAAAAAAAGATAATAATTAGTAGAAACACCAAAATTAGAATCTATACGTATGGCATATTCTATCTGCTATACAGACTTATTTTCTAATTGGTCTAGCTCTAATATTGTGGCACAAACCCTTTTGTTATACATATATAATTAGCGTTAGCAGTTTCACAAATTGCATTTTGAATTTGTATTTCATTAACTGTCTATTGCCAATTGTCTATTTTTTCTGTTATTGTAAAATGAGCAAAAACAATTTATAAGTTGATTTTTTTGCGATACATCTAATTTTAGTCTCATATTGGTTTATTACTAGTGCTCGGCACAATCAAATAATTATTTGATAGTCAAATACTTAGTAAATATTTGACGATCACCGATTTCCAAATC